TTTATATATATATACTAACTTATCATGTAAATTTAGTATTATTTAATTTTAACTATTCTAAATTGTATTTAATTCATAAGACATTTATTGTAAACTATAAACTGTGTAATAGTTTGCCATTAAATTACCGTTAATACCAATAAAAATCTTTAATATACTGTATAGTTGTGTCAGTAATGAAGAGACAATCCCTTAAATGTTTACCAAAAAAACTGTTTTGTATGAAAAATGTGTTAAAAATTGAAATCAAAAACAAGTGATTGAAAAACAATCGTTAAAATAATTGTGAAAAAGTGGTCATAAATCCTATAATCGATGCGTTTATCACAAGTTCTCCGCAATTATTCAAAGTTACCTAAAAATTACGCCAATTTCCCCGACAGATATGTCCGAAAGCAGACAGCGTTTGTGGAGTGGAAGTCTCCACCACTGCCTCAATACCAGCCGCGGACTATTCGGTGGCGCAAACGAGCCCTCTATGGTCTCGAGAGGAGTTGGTCTCAAGAGTTCCAGACAGTGAACGCGCCAAACATACCGCTGCCCACAGTGTATGTCGAGCCCATCAAACACTTCTACATCTTCAGAGGCGATAGAGTGGAGGTATTGGTGGGCAGAGACAAAGGCAAACACGGGATCGTTAACTATGTGGTGACTGAACGCAATTGGGTGTGCGTTGAGGGACTCCATCTCAAGTACAAGACTGAGAGCAAAAGCCACGATTACCCGGGAATGATGGTCTCCACCGAACGGCCTCTACTCGTGCCCAGAGATGTGGCTCTCGTCGACCCCTCTGACCACAAACCCACCAAAATTGAGTGGCGTTTCGACGAAGAGGGCAACAAAGTGCGGGTCTCTGTCCGCACCGGACGTATAATCCCTATACCGGTGTTGGCGGAGGAGACGCGTGACTTCAAGACCAGAGAAACATATTTAGAGCAAATCAAAGACACCAAAGCAGATGACATGAAAAAGACTACTTTTATACCCAAAGTAAGGACTTTTGAAATGGATGTCATGGAAGAGATGCACATCAAAGAAGACAGAATTCCTTATAATATGTTTTGGTATTAATTTTTCACATAATTGAGTCAACATTCAAGTCATCACTTTTTGTAGATATAATAGTGTTTATCCAATAAATAATTGAATTTTAATTAAAATTTAATTCATTTTAATTGCATTTCAAAAAACAAATCGCAATTCAATAGAGTTTTTATGCAATTAACAACATTTCATTTGAAACTACAAATTGTGTTTCAAATGTTGGCTCTCTATATAACGATGGATCAAATGTTTGTCAAATGCATTCACAATTTGATCGCAAATAATTATTAGTATTAATCAATTTCTACTAAAACACGTTATTTACAAAAATTAGTTTTATCTCAAAACTTATTTTTAAATAATTGAAACAAAAACTATCCATTAATTTGTAATTTACAAACTAAGAGAGAAAAGTGAGTCTATTTTCTATACCACATCTGGTTGTGATTCATTCGTTTGATTTTCTTCTGGAGCTGTAAAATGCCATAAAAGAGCGCTTCGGCAGACGGGGGACAACCTATCGGTGGGCCGTAAATGAGATATTATTAGACAA